CCATATCAACATAAGTGTTTAGGTCATCCGGTGGCAAAGACATTATTTGGGTATTTATAATTACGACGGTAGGTGAAAGACTTGAAGTGTCAGTGAATGTTCCCGTGATTGTGTCAGGCTGACTTGATGATGTGTATGTGATTGTGTCAATGATTGTGTCAGTGATTGTGTCAGTGTCTGGCAGACTTGATGATGTGTATGTGATTGTGTCAGCGATTGTGTCAGTGACTGTGTCGGTGTCTGACAGACTTGCTGTGCCAGTGATTGTTTCAGCCCCTGAGGAGCTTGATGATGTTACTGCCATTGTGCCGATGACTGTGTCCGTGATTGTGCCAGCGTGTGAAATGCTTGAAGTGTATGTGATTGTGTCAGTGACTTTGTCTGATAAACTTGGTGGGTCAGTGATTGTTTCAGTGAATGGCAAATTTGATGTGTATGTGATTATGTCAGAGAAAATGATTGAAGGATTTTGATAGCTCATAAGAGAGGATGTTGTATGGTCACTACTAAGATAAAAAGTTGTTGTATGGCTACTCGTAGAAGTGAATGTTGTAGGGTCACTCGTAAAAAGGAATGTTGTATGGCCACTCGAAGAAGTGAATGTTGTATGGTCAGTAGTAGAAGGGAATGTTGTATGGTCCCTCATAGAAGGGAATGTTGTATGGTCACTCATAGAAGGGAATGTTGTATGGTCCCTCATAGAAGGGAATGTTGTATGGTCACTAGTAGAAGGGAATGTTGTATGGTTACTCATAGAAGGGAATGTTGTATGGTCACTCGTAGAAGTGAATGTTGTATGGTCACTCCTAGAAGTGAATGTTGTAGGGTCACTCGTAGAAGGGAATGTTTTATGGTCACTCGTGGAAGTGAATGTTATAGGGTCACTTGTAGAAGTGAATGTTGTAGGGTCACTTGTAGAAGTGAATGTTACATGGTCACTCGTAGGAGTGAATGTTGTTATAGGGTCACTTGTAGAAGTGAATGTTGTAGGGTCACTTGTAGAAGTGAATGTTACATGGTCACTCGTAGGAGTGAATGTTGTAAGCTCACTAATAGAAGGGAATGTTGCATGGTCACTCATAGAAGGGAATGTTGTATGGTCACTCACAGAAAGGAATGTTGTATGGTCACTCATAGAAGGGAATGTTGTATGGTCACTCGTAGAAGGGAATGTTGTATGGTCACTCGTAGAAGGGAATGTTCTATGGTCACTCGTAGGAGTGAATGTTGTAGGATCACTCATAGAAGGGAATGTTGTATGGTCACTCATAGAAGTGAATTTTGTATGGCCACTCATAGAAGTGAATGTTGTATGGTCACTCATAGAAGGGAATGTTGTATGGCCACTCGTAGAAGTGAATGTTTTATGGTCACTCGTAAAAGTAAATGTTATATTTTTAATTGTAGAAGGGAATATTGTATGGTCACTCAAAGAAGGGGGTGGTGTATAGTCACTCATAAAATTGTATGTTACATGGTCATTTAAAGATGGGATTATTGAATCTTCACTTACAGAAGATAATTTTGTATGTTCACTCAAAGAAGAGACTAATGTATGGTCCCTCAAAGTAGAGACTAGTGTATGGTCACTCACAGGAATGTATGTTGCATGGTCACTCATAGATGGGAATCGTGTTTGGGCACTCATAGATGGGATTGTTGTATGGCCACTAATAATATAAGGGAATGTTGTATGGTCACTCATAGAAGATAATGTTATTTGGTCAGACATAGATGGATATGTTGTATGGTTACTAAAATAGGATTTTAATGAATCGTTACTTATAGAAGAGAATGTTGTATGGTCACTAAAATAGGATTTTAATGAATCGTTACTTATAGAAGAGAATGTTGTATGGTCACTCACAGAAAAGTATGTGACAGGGTCAATCATTGAAGGAGTTATTGCATTGACGCTAATCGCGGGGATTGCTGTTTGGCCATTCAAAGAAGGGTTTGTGCTATGGTCAC